CCCCAAAACCCCAAAACCCCAAAACCCCAAAACCCCACAAACTTAAACAAAGATTGAAAAATATTTTATCAAGATAACGTTCAAAATTCACCCAAAAAAAGCTAGTTTAATTATTTTAGATCGTAACAGCTTGGTTGAGGATCTTGTCCCAATTAATTTTCCAGCTGAAAAACGATAGGTTTTTATCCTTAGTATAATCCTTGATGAAAACAAGGATTTCATCCCATTCATCCTTTTCCAGAATCTCGTTTCTGATTTCAAGCAGAATGGAGACCACTACCCCGTCGAAGTACGCCCAGCCTGTGTTGCTGTTCGTTGAAGGCAGAGCTAAGAAGTTGTCTAAGAATTTCCCATAGAAGTTCAGAGGGATAGTATGGCTGAACAAGTCAAACATCCATTCCAACGCGAAGGTTTGAGGGTCAAGACCAATATTCTCAAAATGATTGTACACTTTACGGTTTCATCGGTAAATTAAAGATTTTAACGAATTGTTCCTCTCCATTAGTTCATTTGATCAAGCAGAATAAAGCTTAGATAACTCAAGATCGTCAAGGAGGTAATTTAGTAAAAATAGAGTAATATCCTTCGATCAGTGATATAGAAAAGCAGCTGCAAGAAAATTCATACCTTGAACATACCCAATAGTTGTGTCTTTGCGGGCAAGGATATTTAGCAGCTCCCTTAGAGTATTCTGTCCATCCTTGCCTTTTCCAAAGAATTTGTCGTCAACAAGAGTTCTCTCAATATCTTTCTCAATTTGGTCTTGGTCATTATTGAAATTTTCAACTCAAGCAGTATTAATAGAGATATTAGGGTCTTCTTGCTCAGTTCTGTGTATTTTATCAATAACTAATTTGTATTCCTCAAGATATCTGTCTTGGTTGATTCTCTGGTTTCGTTTCGCTTCAATAAGCCTGACCCATTTTCCAGCTCGGGATCATCAGTCAAGCTCCTGGTCCTGCTCGCTTCATTTTCAAGGAAATTTTGTGGTGTCTTTAAAAATGAATTTTTTGATTTTAGAATAGAAAGTAGGCCTAATTGGCTCTGGAAATTTTCTATTTGCAGTGGTAGTCTTGGCAACTGCATCGCTCTCAATAAACTCAAAAGAGAGATCTTTTGATGAATTATTACTGTTCTTAGCAAATACGCTTGAATTAGCAGAATTAACCCCAATCTTGACTGGGCCTCGCCTTCTGTAATGAATTGGCATGTGTCTACCTGACTCAAAGGTTCTTTGAGATATCTGTGGAGAAATCCTTGGTTTATTTGGAGAAGTGTCTGACTTATATACCTCATTTACCAAAGCACTTTCTTTTTGGAGAGGAGCATTCCTCTTTATCTGAGGCCTATGTCTTTGTGAAGATACAGATGTTCAAGCGTCTTTGATACTTGCTATGTTTCAGAGTCTTTTATTCCGACTGAATTGTCCAACACTTGATTCTCTAGTCTGAGATAACTTCGCTTTCATTGAAACATGAGGAGTATTATGAATAGTAGAAGTTGAAACTAGGCTATTTATTCCTATAATCTCTCCTCTAGCTTTAACAGACTGAGCATAATATGTATCATTTTCAAAAGAAGGCTCAACACTGAGTCTATCCTTTGCTTTTGTGATTGGAAATTGTATATCAAAATTATGATGATTCTCCATTCTGTCCCTTGTTAAACGCAGCTCCTCTTTATTTGGTAAAAAAGATGGAGATCTTTTCTGGCTAGAAGGGTGCAAAAATTGTGTGCTTTCTGCTTTATTACTCATCTACTCATAAGTTTCAAACTTACCTGAGAAATTTTATTAAAATCCTTAGGCTTTCTATCGTGAAGACAACTATTAACCAACAATTTTTGCTTTCTCTTATTCTCTTTCTTCTGGCAAGGAGAGCTATACTCAACACCTACAGAGGTGTTCTTGGGTACTGGAGCAGGGCTAACAGGCCTATTCTTCGCTTTCTTCCTTAAATTAGAAGTTTTATTTATGCACTGATCAGCTCAACAATTTTCTTTTCCCACTCTTCTTATTTGCCCGTTAAGCAAACAGCTTTCCTAAGGGGCACATTCTGATTGATACCATTTTTATATTCAGCCAAAGCTGTCTTTTTAGAGGGGTGTTTATCGCCTGAAATTTCGAAAGCTCTCTGCTGTTTGTCACTGTCGAGAGTATTCATTGAAAATTCAGTGTATTTAGGTCCAAAACTAAACCTTTTGTTTTCTTTCATTTCACTATTTCTATTTAATTTTATTAGATGGGGTTTTGGGGTTTTGGGGTTTTGGGGTTTTGGGG